GAAACCATGTTCTCGTTTAAACTACTGTGATTAACTTTTGTTACTCAACTACACTTGAGTAATATGACAAAGAACTCTGAGAAAGCACATGGTAATAGTGCAAATAAGACTGTTCTGTTAGTAAAGGGAAATGGGAATGGGCTATGGTGGTCATCTAGAAGTATTTACTACACAGTCCAACATTCATTCCCTCTTTTTCATGCCTGTGCACAGAACCCCATTTTGTTTAAATAGAGACAGAAGGCTTTGATTACTGCAGGTTACCTTTCCAACCCTAGAGAGGTATGAACTGTGATCTGTACAAACCATTCATGGAAATCCGATTCCCCTTGGTCAGTCAGTGACCTTAGGAGCTGCCATGTGATCCTGTTCTAGCCAAGGAGATTTAAATGGAAGTCCATTAGGTAGAGCTTTTATAAAAGCTTATTTTCGGGTAAGTGACAAACAGCAGAAATGCAGTTTATCCTTTACATGATTACTGCCTTTTTCTGCACAGACCTTGGAAACAACATTTTGAAATACAACAGCCATTTTACAATGATAATTGGATCAGTATGAAGGCCAAAGGCACAAATCAGGAAAGAACAAGTATGAGATCCTGAAACCATAATTGAGCTCTGGACTGCTTATCTTGGGTTTCATGTTACAGGAGGAAACATCTACCTTATACATTTCAACTGTTGGCCAGTTTTATGTTACTTTTTTAAAATGAATGAAGGAGATTTTTATGTGTCGATATGTATAAATCTCAAAGGCATAATGAGTAAAAATAAGCAAGTTATAAAAAGTTATAAACAAAATACTATTGTATAGACTAACTTTAAAATACTAGCAATACTTCTTATTGCTACGTTTATAAGTAATTAAAAGCATAAAGTCATCCAGAGGAACTATACACACTAATTTCAAGTTATTTCTGGGGAGGCATAAGATTTAATGGTGATGTCTTAGCTATAATCTTTGATATTTTGCATAGATAGATAAACTATAACTATCATCATCATCATCATCAAAGTACAGGTAACCTACAGAAAAACCTAAAAGAATTTCTAGTTGTTATCTTTGGGAAGTGGAACTATAGGTTGTAGGGGAAGCCAGAATAGTGTTCCATTGCTTTTTATCATATTCCTGCATGATGTTTGTTTTTTCTTTTTGGCACCAGGGATTGAACTCAGGTCCTTGCGCTTGCAAGGCAGGCCACCGAACTGCTGAGCTAAATCCCTGTCCTTCCTGCATGATGTTTTATATGTTACATTTATTTTAGACAATTGAAGCCACATAACTTAATGACATGTGTTTCCACTTTATATGATAATTATATACCTGAAAATTCAAGGTTAAATCTATTTGTTCCAAGAAAAATATGTTTTAAAAACATAGAACTATAAAACAAAGAACTCTATAAAACAGTGGTTTTCAAACTTAAGTGTGCATTGAGTCACTTGAGGGCTTATTAAAGTGAAGATTACTGGGACTAGCGATGTAGCTCAGTGGTAGAACACTGGCCTAGCAAGTGGTCTTCAGCACCCCCAAAAAAGAAAAAGATAACTGTCATGCTCCAGTTTTGGATTCAGAAGATCTGGGGTGGGGCCTTGGAATTTACATTTCCTAGCTGATACAGTGGCTGCTAATCCAGGGATTGTACTTACAAACTCCTGGGTTTAAATTTAATTCTATTTAATTTAATTTTTAAAAATATGTTTTTGTGGGGCCAGGGATTTAGCTCAATGGCTCTGCCATTGTGCTTCACAAGCACATGGTACCGAGTTTGATCCCTGGTATATATATATATATATGGTGGGTGTGTGTGTGTGTGTGTGTGTGTGTGTGTGTGATATACAGATTGTTCCTAGGACCTTCACATTGAACCCACCCTCCCCCTTTCATTTTTAATTTTGAAGACAGGTCTTGCTAAGTTGCTGAATTGCCCAGGTTGGGCTCAAACTTTGAGTTCTTCTGCCTCAGCTTCCCAGAGGCTAAAACTATCACCTGGCTAAAACTGCTGTTTTAAGGAAATAACTCCCAATTTATATTTTCTATTCAATTGGGTCAGTTGGTGGTATTTTGAAAGTTGATCTCTTCCTCCCCCAGTGTACTATGAAGAATACAGAAAAGCTGAGTCACAGATACGCTTTCTCATATAGAAGCACCTCCACTTCTGTCCTCCAAACCCAAGCAGGAAAGCCGAAGCAAACACTCCCCATACCCAGCCACAGAGATCCCATGTTCAAAGCTGGGCCAGACAGAATTCTCCTCAGGATATTTCCACTGGGTCTGTCCCAAAACACCGTTCACTCTGGCATTGCTAAGCTGCTAAGCTTGGGAGTTGCTATTGTGCCTGTCACATGAAGAGAAGCATTCAAGAAGAGAAATAGCATACTGGTCACACAGAGACTCTCTGAGTCAGGTAATTCTAAACTGGTCTTCTCTATTGTGTTGAGCTGTTAAATTTACTTTTTCTCAAATTTGAGTTGACTTTCTAATGTTGCAATAAAGAGTGCCTGACTTACACAGACGAAATTGTTTCCAGCATGTTTTAAAAATGTGTTATTTCATATTAGGAGTACTATGGATTCTCAGTTTAGAAAACAAACAGAAGGGAATACAAAATGATAATCCAGACACAAATAGGGATGAGAACTTCACAAAACTTTGGAAGTACGACGTAATATAGCTAATATCCAGGTAGATGCACTCATCCCAGTTCTGGCCTAGCTGAGACCATTGCCCCACACAGCTCACCTCTGAGTTGGCCCCTACCTTCTCACAGCTGGAGGGAAGCTCCCTCCCAGGAATATGCTGAAGGAGGAGAACTCATGCTCCTCTTTGAAGGAGGCCATCCATCTGAAGCTGAGTGCTGGGCATGTGGAGAGTGTTTGCATTAGCTACCTCTCTGCTCAGCAGCTGCACTGCCTGCAAAAGAGTCCCTGAATTTCTGTGTCTAGAATTTCATATAATGTATACTAATTGAACATTGAATATTTTGCTTTCATAATCTCATTTAATCTTCACTATAACTCAGTGAGGCACATAATTTCCAATGTTGTTTACAGAGAAAAAAATGGAGACACAAAGAGTTAAGTAGTTTGCCCTGGGTTACAGAATCAGCCATGGTAGAGCCAGGTTTCAAATCGGATACTTTCTGATTCCCAAACTTAAGAAAATAAGGATGAGAAGGAAGGAAGGACAGGAAAGAGAGGAGACAGGGAGAGAAGAGAGAAAAGAGAAGTAAAGATGGGAGACATAGAAAAGTCTGATATAGGTTTCTCATAACCATCCACTTCTGGGTTCCAGACATTCCTGAGGTCTAGCTGAATTCCTGCACACAAGATCTCTCAATGGCCTTGTAATAAAGCCCTCTTTTCTCTTCACCTAGCTTCAGTTGACTTGAGTTACTTGCATCCAAAAGGACTAGCAGATATAATCATCCACTAAAAGACGTTGCCAAAGCAATTGTGTCAATACACCCTGGTACATAGCAAATGAAGAATTTGCAAAGGCAGACCCTCTGCTGCCCAACTAACTCACCATTATTTTTCCGTTCATCTTTAGATTATAGATTGTCTTGGTCTTGAGCATGGCTGTATGGTAAGGGGTCAGACAAAATCCTCTTCTGTCCTGAACCATTCAAAGACTCCTTCCATCTCACCATCCTTACCACCACCCTGAAGTCCTATCTGGGACCCATGAGAATAAAAAAATCCTACTGACAAAATTAACACTTAATGTTAGGGACCAGAGTGCCTTCCTGGCAAACAGACTCAGGACTTCCTGCCCAAGCAGACCTCATGTTTAATACATCAAGAAGGTACTGATACAGCCAGCCTTGAAGGTGCACAGCACAGTTTTGGCATCAAAACCTTGGTGATGAAATCATCTGTAAGTTAAGCACTCATTCCCTCCCATAAGGACATATTGGTTTAACCCATCAAATCCTTATTGAGTATCAATTTGATTCCAGATATTAGCACTAGATGCTGGAAGCAAAGAGAACAAAATAGTTTATTAGAGAAGAAAGGCAAAATATGGTAATAAATCCTCAAGATTAGAGATCCATGTTTCTGGAAGAAAACAAAAAAATAGAAGTCTCATTTATGTGTCAGCCCTTTGGGAGCTTTTCCTTTCCCCGTCTCTCAGACCCTTTGACCTTTATATCTAACAGTTCTGAGTCAGCCAACATGATGTTTAGGAAGCCCCATAGTGCAACGTATTGCAGAAAAGGACTTCCCCAAGGGCTTACCTGGGATTCTTTCATGAACTGAATTTACTAGAATGAGCTGGAATCATGCTGGGGTGTGGGAAGCTAAACTAAAAAGCAGGGAATGGCCACCTTTTAATTGGTAGCTTGTTCATCACCTCAAGGCCTGTAGAGCAAGCACCCATGCATGCTCCAGGAGAGGGGGGAAAAAGCAAACAAGGCATACCTAAAGAAAACAGGAGTAGCAAGACATGATAGCATATCCAAAACCTAAAAATAAAAAGATTTTTAAAAAGAAGAGATTGCTATTATTCTGTTTCTAGCCCAAGGTATTATATTAACAGATACAATTGATTTCCTGAATTCTTTGGGGAAGGGGCAAGTCTCATGGTTTACAAATACTTTGCCAATATTTCAGCCAGTCTCCCAAATTTGGTAAACACAACAGAAATGTACATGCTTAGAAGAGAAAGATTCTAAGTTCTACCAGATGAGACAAGATAGAACTAATCACCAGGGTGTCAGAGAATGCAAGAGTCTCCTGTAATCTCTGTTACTTTGGGTTGAGAGTTTACACCCAAAACTAGTGAACTCAAGTGGCACCATGGTGACAAATACAGTATAATTTTTAAAGGAAAGGTGAACAACAAAAGCTCATTTGGAGGATTAATCCAGTTTTCCTGGTATTCTCCTCAGTGTGTGTGGAGCTCACACTTAAATACTCTTCATACCGGAAAGCACGTTTCTCTTATCTGCATAGCTTTCTCTACCCTCTCTCTGAAGATTCAAACTGCAAACTTACCTTCCTGTTCTTAGTGCTGGAAATCCTGGGAAGGCCAGAGCCACTTGTTATGTTCCTGTTGGGTGGCAGGAAGGGCTGTCTGTGGCTTCCAGGCTGAGCAGTATTTGGGGCACTGGAGATTGACTTCTGGGGCTCAATAGTGGCCAGCCATGTGACTAGGGTGGGGGAAGGGACTCTTCTGCAGGGTGAGGGACAGTTGCCTTGTCGGCTGATATATCAGAGTAGAGTGTGGTCTGAATAGAGCTGGCCACAATTATAGGCAGATGACTTGGCTCTAAATTTCTTCTTGGATTTTAACGTGGTGATCTTTTTGCGACAGTGGTATATTCTAGCCTTGAGTTTTGAAATGCTGGTTTGTCTCACTGCATGGTTTCTATCCCAGACCTTTTTTTTTTTTTTTGGTCAGGGATTGGGGGTGAATTCTTAGAATGTTAGAGCTACAAGAAAACTTGGAGATGATCTAGCTCTAATCCAAGGTTGCCGATTTTATGTTTGGGAAAACTAAGATCAAGAGAGAGCAACAGCATTTCCAAGAACCTGTTGTGACATACCGGGCTGACCCAGTTGGCTCAAAATTGCAACTCATTTGAATGTCTTTAGCTCTAGGTGGCTGAGATTTAAAGACTGCTGAGATGCCAGCAGTGGAACCTATCACACTGCAGGTACCTAAACATCCAGCTGTCAGACTAAGGCATGGCGTGGTACTGTGGCAGTCAGCACTATGGTCAATGTATTTGCACACATTTGTGTAATTATGCTTAGGTATCACTATCCCAATCTTCACAAAATACCCAAGTTCATCTTTTTGGAGGGTTCAAATGACACCAAAAACTGGACACACCTTTGATCTCAAAGTCCTTAAAAACTTGTCTAGACTAGAGCCATGTGGGTAGCTGTGTAATTTCTACCTGCCTTTCCACCCAAAGAAGGAGGCTTCTGGCTGCCTGCTGACAAAAGGGGAGGGGGAAGGAAATGATAGACCCATAGGAGTTGATTGTAGAAGGAGAGAGGAGGGATGTGTGGGCCTTTTCTGGGACATGCAATTCCCAGGAGGAGAAAACCCAGTAGAAAATGGTTCATGGCACAGGCCTATTGTACTCAACCAAATTTTCCAAGTACATGAGCTACTCAGCTCCTCCTAGGAAGTATGACTGAATAAGTGGAGAGGAAAGGTTATAGAAGAAGGAATATGATAGTAGAGGAGCAGTCAGGTGTAGCTGGAGGTGTGAAATGCAGATGGCATGAGGTAAAGATGGAGGTGTGGGTGTAGATAGAAGTGTGTGAGGTGTAGGTGGCCATAAGGTATAGATGGACGTATGAAATAAGGATGGAGGTTGAGGTATAGATGGATGTGTGAATTCACTTGGAGGCTTGAGGTGTAGATGGAGGCATGGATGGAGGTGTAAATGGAGATGAGAGATGTAGATAGGTTCAAGGTATAGATGGAAGTGTCAGGTGTAGACAGAAGTGTCTGGTGTAGATGGAGGTGGAGGCATAAATTGAAAAAATGGAGGCAGTGGGGGTGATGGAGGAAGAGGTGAGAAGTCTTCCTAAATCACAGAAGAATGTGTTACTACCCTGCTATTTACCTTGTATAAATGCTATGAATACAATGTAAATGGCAGAATTTTGTCTTTAGGAAACTGGGGGACATTATTCTGTTCCCAGAGCTCTGCGATCTTCGTGAAATCACTTCACCTCTCTGGGTCACAGTGTTCATTATAGTAGAATTTGCACTTATTAACCTGGTGGTTGTTAGGGGGTAATCTCCTTTTACCTTACCCTATAAAGTAGTGTTTCTATATCCTCTGAAGTGTTAGGAAAAGGAAGACTTCTCTACCTCCTCACTCATCTTCTCTACAAAAGGATAAGCAGTCTATGTACTTAGAAAATTTGATAGACTACAACAGGCCTGTACCATGACCCAGATTCTTCTGGGTTCCTTTTCATGACCATGCCCCAGAGAAAGCCTGCACATCTCTTCTCCCCTTCCTCCTTACACATAAACTTGGCTATGGATCAATACAGTTGATTCTGGGACAATATTAGGAGAACTGACTATATATTAACAGTACTTTCCAAATGGCTCTGTCATACAGAGAAGTCCAATACAAATGAATGAAGGAGAGCCTGCATGGAGTGGATTGGACTAAATGATTTCCTCCAAGCTGCGGTATCCTATCATTCTGTGAGTCTAAGTGGACTTGTCTCTATAGCACAAAGACATATATTGATGAAGCTGGGTGAGATCTTGGGGCTTTTAGTGAGCAACTTCCTAATGTCTGGGTCCCTTCTTTCCTAGTTTTTAACCCAATAAGGACTCTAACCTCTAATCTTCAAACATCTTCCTCTTTTCTCCATATACCAGCCCCTCATGGCTTCATTTTCTCCTCTTTCTGCTTTGGACCTCATGATGAATCCCTTTCTCTGTTCCTTCACTGATATTTATAACCTCTTATTTCTGCTCTGCCAAAACCTTGGTCTAAACCTTACCCCATATATGACCTTTCTCCTCTGGTGCTAAGCTGGCTTTCATTTCTGGAGAAAGCCAGTCTTCAGTGTAAGAGAGCACAGCAATACAGCCAATACACAGAGTTACAGAGGAGTGTGTGTGTAGGTGTGTGTGTATGTGTGTGTGTGTGTGTTGGAGAGAGGATAGTATAGGGAGGGAAAGAGAGATGCCTGTGACCAACTCCATTCCTGCCCTTCCATGATTTAGTCTTGTGAGCCAAAAAACTGAGAAGGCCAGGCATGGTAGGGCATGTCTATAATCCCACACTCTAACAGGCTGAGGCATGAAGACTGCAAGTTTAAACCCAGCCTTGGAAACTTAGTAAGATCCTGTTTCAAAAGAAAAAAGAAAATTGTAAAGGGAACAATCCAAGAGGAAGAGATGACAATCATAAATATATATGCACCATTATAAATGTATAAGCACCAAATATAAATGCCCCTAACTATATAAAAGAAATATTAAGAAACATGAAAAATCAAATAAGCACTAATACAATTGTACTGGGGGATCTAAATACCTCACTTTCACAAATAGATGATTTAGGCAAAAAAATCAACAATGAAATATTAGAACTGAACCAAGCTTTTGACCATATGGACTTAACAGACGTCTGTAGAGTGTTCCACCCCACAAAATCAGAATATACATTCTTTTCAGCTGCACATGGGTCATTCTCCAAGATAGAGCACATACTATCTCACAGAATAGGTTTGAATAAATGCAAAAGAATCGAAGTTATTCCCTGTATATTACCAGATCATAGCGCAATCAAGCTGGAGATCAATAGCATAAGAAACCGTAGGAACTTCACAAATACATGGAAATTGAACAACACTCTCCTGAACAATCAATGATCACAGAGAAAATTAAAGAAGAAATTAGACAGTTTTTACAAATAAATGAAAATGCCAATACAACATACAGGAATCTATGGGACACAATGAAAGCAGTTCTACGTGGAAAATTCATAGCACTGAATGCCCACACTAGGAAAACAGAGCAAGCTCAAATAAACAACCTAATGATGAATCTTAAACTCCTAGAAAAACAAGAGCAAGAAAACCCCAAAACTCGAACAAGAGAGGAAATTATAAAGATTAGAGCAGAAATCAATGCAATGGAATCTAAGAAAATGATACAAAAAAATAAATGAATCAAAGAGTTGGTTTTTTGAAAGAATAAATAAAATAAATAAACCCTTAGCTAATCTTATCAAAAAAAAAAAAAGGAAAGAAAAGGCTCAGATCCATGTAATCAGGAATGAAAAAGGCAAAGTCACAACAGACCCAACAGAAATCCAGAGGATAGTCAACACCTACTTTGAGAAACTTTACTCTAATAAAATGGAAAACACAGAAGAAATGGACAGATTTATCGATATTTATGAATTACCAATGTTGAATGAAGAAGATAAAAACATTTTAAACACCCCAATTACAATCAGTGAAATTGAAAATGTAATTGAAAATTTACCAACAAAGAAAAGCCCAGGTCCTGATGGATTCACTGCTGAATTTTACAAGACATTTAGAGAAGAACTACTGCCATTACTCTTCAAACTTTTCAATGAAATTGAAAGAGAAGCAATGCTTCCAAATTCATTCCTGGAAGCAAGTATAACTTTGATTCCCAAACCAGGGAAAGACCCAACTAAAAATGAGAACTACAGGCCACTCTCTTTAATGAATATAGATGCAAAAATCATGAATAAGATACTAGCAAACAGAATACAGAGGATTATCAAGAAGATCATACATCCTGACCAAGTTGGATTTATTCCAGGGATGCAAGGATGGTTCAACATACGTAAGTCAATAAATGTAATACACTATATTAACAGAGACAAGGAAAAAAATCATATGATCCTCTCGATAGATGCAGAAAAAGCATTTGACAAAATTCAACACCCATTCATGATAAAAACCCTGCAAAAAAATTGGAATATATGGTCTATATCTCAACTTAATAAAGGCTATCTATGAAAAACCAACAGCCAACATTATATTAAATGGCCTAAAACTGAAAACCTTCACGTTAAAATCAGGAACAAGACAAGGACGCCCATTATCACCACTCCTCTTCCATATAGTTCTGGAAATATTATCCATAGCAATAGACAAAGGAAAGAAATTAAAGCAATAATGATAGGAAAGGAAGAAGTTAAACTGTCATTATTTCCTGATGATATGATGCTCTACATAGAAGACCCAAAAAATTCCACCAAAAGACTTCTAGACTTAATTGACACTTTTAGCAGAGTAGCTGGATACAAGGTCAACACCCAAAGATCAATAGCCTTCTTGTACACAAATAACAGACTCACTGAGAGAGAAATTAGGGAAACAATTCCCTTCACAATAGCATCCAAAAAAATGAAGTATCTCGGAATCAATCTAACAAAAGAAGCAAAAGACCTCTACACTGAAAACTACAGCACTCTGAAAAAAGAGATTGAATAGGATATAAGAAAATGGAAAGATATTCCCTGTTCCTGGGTAGCAAGAATCAACATAGTGAAAATGGCCATACTACCAAAACTGCTATACAGATTCAATGCAATGCCAATTGAAATTCCAACACTATATTTCACAGAACTAGAAAAAAGAATCCAAAAATTCATTTGGAACCAGAAGAGACCTAGAATAGCAAAAGCCATCCTAGGCAACAGAGACATGGCAGCAGGTATAACAATTCCCAATTTGAAACTATACTACAAAAATACAAAGCCACTGTGATAAAAACAGCATGGTACTGGCAAAGAAACAGACCTGAGGATCAGTGGAACAGACTGGAAGATACAAAAACAACTCCAGATATACT